CTAACGCCTCGCTTAAATCGGCACGCGATCGCTCGGGCCCAGCGTTAAGTGCCGAATACTCGCCTCGTCTTCGAGTACCTAAACACTCGAATTACACGGCGCTGACGGCGCGAGGACGCGCGTATTGTGTTAAGTTAATAAGGATGGCCGCGCATATACGCGGGATGAATCGGGCCGTTAGTGCCCGGCGTCGAGCCCCAGGAAAGTGAGATTTTCCTTAAACGAGAGTTTAACAAAGTTCCCGGTTATTACGACAGAATAGCCAACTTTCAAGATAAGGAGTACAGAGGGCGAAGCCCGAGAGGAAGAGAACGAGAGAAGCGAGCGCGCGTCCAACTTCTCGCGCTCGTCGGAAGAGTAAATATTTCTCTTCTCCTTTTTCGGCCGAGGCTCAGCAAATTTTTATCTCGAACGAAAGCATTAATTTGCAAAAAACCACGACACCAGGAGCGAGCACTAAGCCGCGCTCACGGTCTTCGTCTTCGTACGCTTCTTGCCTCTTTCGCGTTCGCTGTCACACGGCTGTCCGCGCACGCGCGTGCGTCGTTCTCTCCAAGACGCTTAACTTTCATCACGAAACTTCGGTATCATCTTGCATTTATTAAAGCGCGCTTCCAGCATATTTGGTGAATATTTCTCGGTATCACTGTATCGGTATCAACGTGCCGTCCCATTTCGTGCCGTGCCGTGCCGTGCCGTGCGACGTTGCACCGCGTTGTACCGCCCGCTTTTGGGTGAGAATGTAAACTCTTTCTCTCTCTCTCTCTCTCTCTCTCTCTGTCCTTTCTGTCTTTTCTGTTCTGATAAATTTAACGTGAACGATTTTATTAGTATTTACGCGATTACGTAATGTCTGACGTCGCCTGGCGGAAGAGCAGTTCTACGCAGTTACGCGTCCGCGTAATTATAATGTTATACCTAAGTTTACCTACCGCCGCTTTGCCGGCAGCTTTGCTAGAAGAATATGCATTTTTGAACGACGCGTGATATACCCCACGCGGAATCTTCGCATGTTGAAATACATAATAAACTTGGCGCTTTGGCGAAATATTAACGACGGCGTATACTTTAACGTCTTGACTCATTAAATAGCCAACGCCTCTGCTACATTCTGCGTCATTTGCAAGGCCTCTCCCTCTCTTCTTCTCCGTAATACTCGACGGCAAAACTGAAGCACGAAGTTTCGTAAGAGGCCGACACGACGCAATATATTCGTGCGTGTATCTGTGTCAGATTAATTAGCGTGCCTCGTGCAAGACTTCCGCGCCGCATGTATGGTAATTACACCGCTAACATGATTCGTGCTGTCTTCCTGCTCGCGGAAAGCTTGGTAGATCGTTTTAATTGTTTAACGTCGCGTTTGAAGTTGTATCAGGTAGGCAATTATGCCAGTAATTGAATCGTCCAATTTGGACCAGGCGAAAAATACGATCGGTGAGGCGCGCTTCGTGGTTCGCGTAACGATAATAATAATCGACATAATCGGGCGCGTTTAACGGCGTTAACGGTGTAAATTTCTCGGCGTAAAGTTCGATAACGATAACGCAACGCACGTGTACGTGCGACGCGATATCGCGATTGATGCGTCAAGCGTAATTATATAACGCTTACGATTAATAAACGCGGCGTCTCGACTTCACACGGGAGGAGGCACCATCTGCGTTGCAACGCTTAAAGTCTCATTCGACCTCGTTGTCGGCCGGTTGTAACGCGTTTACGACTGCTTATTAAATCCATTGCGACGCCGAGCTCGTTGTCGAAACGCAACGCCAACCCCGCTCCCGGCGCGACGTTATTTTGAGCGACATATAGTCGCCCCTAAACATTTTTCGTTGCGCGCAACCGCGAATGCTGAAATGCTTCAGCATTCGTAGCAAATAAATTGCTTTAATACCGTACGACACGGCTCCAATTTTTGCGGTTTTAATCTTAACCAGACCCGCGAAAAATGATGACAGTCAGGGTGAAGGGGAGAATGTGTGAGGTTGAAGATGAAAATGGCTTGTCACCAGGGGCGCGTTAAGAAAAATAGATTCGGATGTTCGAACGCGTCGCGTTAAGAAAGGAAAGAATAAAAGAAAACAAAAGAAACAAAAAAGTAAATCGGCGCGGAAAGCTGAGTGGTTCTTCGAAAGTCGAATCGAGAATAGTGGAATGGTGAAAATAGAGGCATTTTGTCCTTTTATCCGCACACATTTTTCCCCGCGAAACCACTCAACGGTGAGAGGAGAGAATTTTGTTGTGTAATTCCATCGCGGGATATATCGAGATATTTTAAATTTTTCTTAAGTATTTTGTTGGATCTTTCTGAAGTTTCCATCTTGTTTCAGGCTTCCCCGTTCGAAACTTCCTTTCGACTTCTACACTTATCTCAAACTTTTTCCCACATAAATATGATCCTGGCAAAGCACCTTTCTAAACTTTTCGCGAACTCTTCGTAAAAACTGGTAAATGTTTAATGCGTCTTTATAATCCGATAGATTTCGCCTTCCTGAAAACATCGAGAGGACTCGCGGATAACTCGAAACCCTTTTAAGTCCCATCGCGATTTGCTTCGGCAGCCGGAATTTTATTATCAGAGCTAACAGTTTTTCGATACGCGACACGCACACACACACACACACACACACACACACGCACGCGCGCGCGCACCCACTCTCACACAAACATACGCACGCTCACGTCCGCGCTTTTCGCGTTAAACACTTCACACACGCGCTCTCGCCCTGTGTCTCGCGCGTTTTATCCAAGAGAGGATTTGTTTGATGTCACCATAGCCGTCGACTGTTAATACTGGAAGAGTAGATAGTTAAATAATCCCTTTTTTTTGCGCGAGCGCTGAGCTCGTTGTCGGAGTTGAGTAACAGTGAATATATAGCGCATATCAAAATGAAATGGCGGCGAGGACGCGGAGAGTACGGGAGAGGAGGAGGCTTAGCATACGAATATCCGATTCTGTGTTTGTGGGTTGCTACCGCGGTCTGATTTACATAGTTATTATGATATTATGCGGCCGCAAAAGGATTTTTATCATCAGCGCTGTCTGCGCCGCGACCGTGCAAAGGAAGTACAAACCGTGACATACGCTTCCTTTTCTTCTGCGTCGGCTTTTTGCCGCGTGCACCGCGTATTCGCGGAGGATTAGGAGATATAAACCTGTCTTGTCGAGTTTTGTCTTAATGTTTCGCGCATTGTCGTTTTCCCCTGAGAAGCGCATGTCGCGCTGGCGATGTTAATACGAGTATGAAAAGAACGCTCGTCTCCTGGGAAAATCGGCGAACCGTGTCATCAATTTAATTAAGGAAAAATTCAGAAGAGGGGAATATGTGTCAAGCACAAAGATTCTCCTTCTTGCTTTTTTTTTCTTTTTTATTTTCACAGGTTGCACGTGAACATTTCGTGTGTCTTTCGTGCATCAGACTTAATAGGCGTAACATCAAAAATTCATTAATTCTAATTTGTAATGTGATAATGTGATAATTAAATTTCCATCGACATTCTTTTGTCATCTGGGACGTGATTCGCGCACGAAGGGGCTTATTTTTATCTGACATTAAATCTCGAAATAACATTTGGTATCTGCGATGAGTGAGTGCCTCACATTGAACTATTATTTCATCCCTTCGGTGAAGGGTTTATTCTAGCGCAGTCGTAAAGACGTCGAGAGAGCTCCTAGGGGCTTTTTTTAACTAACCAAAGTGGTGACATAAGCGGATTATCAAGCCATCACTGAAAGTCGCGAAGAACGATCTTATAAGTTTCCTCCGTTTTTATTAGTCACTTTTGTAATCTCGGTCGCTTTTTCTTCTCGTCTAAAAATATAAAGGCGATTAATTATCGATATTCACCGGCATGAGACACTGTCTGTCACGGTTAATATTTTTACGTACATTAAAGAGAAGTTAATTTTCAATTATTCGGTACAATTATTCGCTCATGTCTCTGTAAATAATTTTTTTATTTAAATGTAAGTTTTAATAAATTTCGATCCCGGAGACGGTCCATAGCTTTTATTCGAAACAAGTAGATCTGCATTTAGAAAAAAATTTACTCTATTCATATTGTCATATAGTCAGAAATCGACTGGAATTCAATAAAGACTTTTACGGAAGATTTAGTAGGCGAGGCGAAAACAGAAATTCGTATTTCAACTGCGCTTTCCTTCGAGTGTTGCATCTTACGAGCAAAAGCGTTTTTCTCATCCTGCAAGAAAATCGTGAGCAATCCGAGCACGATGCGAGCGATTTTCCACATGATTTTCGGCACACCCGTGTATCGCACAATAAGAATCCGTATTTCTCGCAACTCTCGTAGCGGACTGCCTGCAATCGATCAAGTCGGGCGAGCTCGACTTGAGAACCTAATAAACGCCCGCCCGGCTCTTCCTCGCGTCGGCGGAGGCTAACGGAGGCGCGATACCAAAGCGGATTATTGAAACGCCGACTCGAAGTCGAGGGAAAAGTCCATCGGTCTTAGCCAGATTCGCGGGACTTTAAATTCTCACGGCTCGAATCCCTGCCGAAACTTTTCTCCGTCATGTCGCACCGCATCCCGCCGCGCCCTTGCAATGCAACACCGCACTGCGCCGCAAATCCGGCAAGCGCTATTAAAATGTTGTACAATAAATTTGGGACGTTGTCTATAAAGGTGTATACAATGGCTACACGAGAAGTTCTGCGTGTACCGTTGTATTCATGAGTTTAGCGCGCCGTACGACCACACAATCACAGAGTGAACGTGTGAGGCACCATCGCGTCTGTTTACTTCCCGATTTTCACGTAATCGCGCTCAATCAGGATTAACAGGCAACACGAATTGTTAGTAACGTATGTGGAATTCGTTTAGATCAGCGACTTCGCAGTGACTTATCAAGTGACTGTCGCATCTAATTTTTGTCAAGTTTCCGGAAGAAATACAGTCAGAAGCATCGCGTTCGTGATTTGTTCACGATCGTTCTACCGCTGTATTTAATCAGGAAAACTACTTCTTGTTTCAGATCTGGCAGAGATTGCGGCTACACGCGGACGCTGTTTCGAAGCTGCAGTTAACGGCGACTGCAAATGCGGCACCGGAGGATTCGAGCCTAACAGCATTGGCTCCAGGATAAATTGACTTATTCTATGATTTTTTATTTGATCCTTTGTGTGATAATCCTTGGTCGCGATCCTTGGTAACGAACGATCCGTTGTATAGCCGCGCGATGTAACCGGGAATGTGAGAAACCCCATCAGCGCACGTTTATCGAATAATTGTCGTAATGTTTATCGAAAGTTTGTTTTACAACGTAACGTAAAATATTAATATTACAACGTGGAGTCGATAACTGAAACATTGTTTCTTATTTTTTCGTTTCGATCAATATGATCAAAACAACATGATCAAAACAACATACTCTGATGTACGGTTCGGCGCGCCGATCGAGATCACGTGACGTAAACGCGCGTAATATTTACCACGAGCGGATAGCCATTAGAGCATTTGAAGCGGGGACGAACGCGTCGGAACATGTAGCGTGCTATTCCCAATTTTCGTAAATCGACCATGAGACCAAATGTGACACTTGGCGCGTGCGATCATCGTAACGATAACGTCACGAGTAGTGGAAGCATGCTGAAATTCGAAAGGTAATCGTCACATGTCATGCTTGTCATACCTAACGGAGATTTACAGTCGAACCTAACCTCATTTTACGTAATAACCTTTTGTACTTTTTTTCGTTTCTCACCTTACTCCTGACTTTTCAATTCGTCGCGATCGAGAGATCGCTATTGCTACGATTAATCGGGATGATTTATTATCTGTTTCCAATTCTTCGATTCCCGATGGAATTTGCAGCTACATCGCGAAGGTAGTCGCAGTTTCAGCGAGTTCGGAAGCAACGCCGGGGGATATGATACGAGTCAAGCTGTTTCGAGAGTAAGTTTACAGGCTCTTAATCCTTCGTTTAATCCTTCGTTAATCGTAATAATAACTCTCCGAGAAATCTTAACAATTAATAACTGTATGATATATTATAATATGAGGATATGAGAAGAATTCTATCGGAATTATTACTGAATAATCGAACGTCGTAACGTTACATAAAGTATTGATATCATAACGTATAATTAATAATGAAAAATTGTCCTTCATCGCGACCATAACAATGAAATCTGAAGTGAGACGAAACGTGTAACGCGCGTTTCAACAACGCGCGATATACGCAACAAGCGGAACGGCCATTTGAAATAGAGGCGAATACGTCGCGAGCTACTTCTAATTTTCGTAAGTTTATCGGAACGATCGTGAGATTAATTATGACGCTTTGCACGTGCAATCATCGCTTTGAGAACATCGTCAGAAATGGAAGCATGTTGAAATTCAAAGGGTGATTACTATATCTCATGCCTATTGGAGACTCGCAGTCAAACCTAACCTTTTACTTATACGCTTTTTTTATACACAATACTTTCCTTTCTTCATTTCTCAATAAGTCAAAATCGAGCTATGCTTATCGCTATAACTAATCAAAAGATGATTTATTTTCTGTTTCAGATTTTTCGGTTCGCGGCGAAATTTACAGCTACATCGTGAGGTTAGGTCGCAGTTTCGAATATTTTACTCACGTAAATATGCGTTAGTAGATTTCGCTATTTTACAATATTTACGGTATTTAATTTTACATACATACAGAATGTTGCGTAGCGTTTATACGTTATTTGTTGAAATACCTAGTTTCATAATCGTGATCATGAATGACTTGTGTTCATATTGATAAATTTTAAAATTATGGCGAATTTTAGTTTCCTATTTTTACATTTTCATTTCTCGCGTCGCGATTACTCTCTTTGGGTTCGAATCGTTCGTTAAATAAAATTCGCGATAGTATTTTGAAGGAAATTTCCATATGACCGAGTCGCGGAGTTATCTTCGCATAAGTATTACGAAGTTATCATGTGTGAAAAATTCATTCTACTTTCGAATATCTCGCTAGTGCACGATTTTGATTAATTTCGCAATCGACACGATGTTATCGTGTATTAGGTTTCAAAATTTAAATTTCTTTGCTTCTGGACACATAATTGCTACCTTACAATTTTTTTTGATCCATTTGCTGAAGAAAAAAAGATGAATGAAGAAAATTAAATTTACTCATTATCGTGAGTGCGTCCCAGAATTATTATAATTTTTGCCGCGAGTAGTGCAATGAGTATATTTTCAAAGCTTTTTTCGAGCCGTGATTGTATTGTCAAAGTGCCGATATCGCAAAAGTGGACATTCGTATTAAACGAAATTGCAGACGTTGATGATTTCATCTTTCGTTGACAAAAGTCGTGTATTCTGACTCGAGATAGATAAATAAATTTTATTGATGCCGTCATTCATTCGTTAAACATCGTCGAAAATGTGAACATCAATCGTGAGTGTATAATGCAATGAATGTGAGCGACTTTATGGAGTTTTGCACACAGCGACGGCCTGGTTGGACATAGGTGACGTGACTGCACATCGAGAGATATCAATGCAAATTGGTGAATGTTGAAATTCAACGTTTCATATTTTATAGTGCATGCATAATAGTAAATCGCATTGATTTCGGGTAGTTATATATTAATGCTTGAGATATTATATATATATATATACATATATATAAATATATATATATATATATATATATTGTTTAAGCAATTTTATATTGTTTGTATAATTTTATGCAATTTGATATTGTTTGTGCAATTTTATACTGTTTATAAAACTTAATATTGCTTATGCACATGGTGCGAAACTGAATATTTAAATAATCTAATAGTTTGAACAATTTCACACTGAAAGAAATACCAAATTGGACGATGCCAAAACTATCGATACAAACCGAGTTCGACTTTGAGCACGTATGATTCGGAAAGTATCGGTGATATCGCGCGTTTTCGTGTTGGGAATTGGGAATTTCGGCTTCTAATTAAGTTTACATGGGGGTTTAAGGTTACGACGGGGGGAGAAGGTAGGTCATTAAAATATTGTAAGTTTGGTACACCCTCGACCGTGCGTTAGTTCGCGATTCACCCTTTTCGCCTCCTTTCCACGGTTCGAGACGCAAGCTGTTACACCGTTCGACCCCCCAAATAGCGCCGGTGTACCCCCGCGCTGACGTAACCGCCTTTCTGATGCTGGTGGCTCGCTGTCCCCGAAGCGGTGCATTCGCCGCCGACGCCGACGCCGCCTACGCCGACTACGCCGTGATAATTCCATTTCCGCGAAGCGACGCGAATTCGAAGTTTAATTAATCGAATTCGCGCCCATGCCATCCTCGCCTAGCCGAATCCTTCTCCCGCCCCGTTCCTCGCTCCCTCTCACTTAGGCTGCCCTTGCCTCGGCTCGCTTCCTACTCCCGACTAGTCAGCCAGCCAACCAACCAGCCACCCTCTTAGGGCAGGCTTCGATCCCGGAAATTAGTAAGATCGCACATGCGGAACACGGAGGTTTCCCGCCTGCTAGAGACGCGGCGTATATCTACCGTCTGCACGTACCTGCGTGTACGTACGTATGCACGAAGCTGAGCATTACGCGCATACCAATACACACCGATACGTATGCAAGCCAGTGTGAGCAAGCGCTCGCATTACACGCTCGTACAATGCAGACCGTCGCGCAGCGCGCGTCGGTCCGTTAATACAGCGCGGAAATGTGTACTCCCAAGACGATTGGGAAAGTTTACCGGAGTCAACGAGAAATTTACAGGCGTTCAGCGTGCTCGATCGAGCGCCTCTCGGACGGCTTCTCTTTTTCTCGTGCTTCGAGTTTCGCGCGCGCGTGCGCGCGGAAACGCGATCGACATTGAGCGATGCTGGCTGGCGCCGATGCAACCGAATCCATTATTCTGAGAGAGGCGGGCACTCGATAAAGGAAATTAATACAAACAGCTTGCTGTTTGTGCACACGCGCGCCGAGAGGTCGAGGGGCTCACGGTATAATTTTCCGTCGATTTCGTCGCGGCGCTCTTTTGTGCCGCCGCGATAAATTTCCGTCATCGTTATCGCGTAACGAACCCACGTACCATTCCTTTCTCTCGCTCTTTCTCGAGGAGCTCGAGAAGGAACTTCTTTTTCATCATTTTTGGCTATTCAACGTTAAATATTCCGGGCTCGGAGCCCATATAATTGAAATTCGGAGTATCGTGTTCGCGAGTATATGACTGAATATAATTTCTACGCTCTATTCGAAATTATCTGAAAATCAAGAACTTGCTTTGGCATTAGTAGTTTAGGAGCTTAGTTTGCGAGTTACTCGAAATTAACCGGAGTACGAGGTTGCGTCACGCGTTAGCGGGGGTTAAATTCGCGCGAGTGCGTTCCGACTCGCTCGCGCTGCGCGGGCAAAAATTGTCACGATGTTTTCCAGCATTGTCGTTACCACACCGGCTGGTGCCATGATTGTCAACAATGTCCGGCGCTGTAATATTGTCCCACCAATTCACGTATAAAACATAGCCAATTGTGTGTAACAAATTAAATATATAATCGATAGAGAGCCGGTGAAACGGAGTTAACGGACGATACGCGTCACCAGTTGCAATTTATTTACCGCATATTTGGCGATACAGATCCGAGCGCGGGGCATCGTAAAATAATCAGTGGAAATCAACGTGATGGGTCAACGAAGTTAACGAGGTGTTAACGAAGAGAGTATCGATTACGTGGATTGCGCCGGTGGAGTTCGACGTCGTTTGTCGCGCTACGAAAGGCCACGCGCTTTTGCCAGCCGCGAAATTAAATACGGGCTGCGAATACAGACGGTCGTCAGGCTGCGCGCGCGGAGAATTAAATATTTTGGCATTAATAGAAGAGCGGTATTTTCGCCGGGCCGGCTTGCGCGATGCAGGCAGGCAGGCAGGCAGGCAGGCAGGTCGCGCACAATGCGGCGAAGTGTGCACGCCGGCATTTCGCGGAAGACACAGAGCTATAAATATGCGACCGCATTTGCCAACATTTTTTATTGCCCGGCTATAAGCGCGCACGCGGGCGAAATTGTGTTTAAAACTTCGACCCGCGGGTGCGATAGCACCGCGTCACATGTGTACACGACGCGCGAACTGTGCGAGAGCCTGTACCTGCGCATGTGTGCGCGCGCGCAAATAGCGACCATATACGCGTATATTACGCACTCGCAATTCACCTCACGCTCGTTCCTCCTTTAATACGAGCCCGCGCACGTATGCCCGCACTGGAGCGTGTCCTTAACGTGTAAGAAGATTACTACTAGTACGTGAGCGCGAGCGCGAAACTATGCTTCAAACTATTCCTCATTCACCGTATAGGCGTGCACATATTAATATTAAGCGCACACACTGTACAAACACATGCGCGACCTGCGCCGGCCGTGCAACGGATACCCGGGGGTTATCGCCGGAGGTGTCGCACTTTCCCTCCGACGTGCGCGCGCGCCCGCGCCCGCGTTTCCGTAAGTCAAACTACGAAGATCGACGGCCGCGCGACGGTGGGATGGCTCGGGGTGGGTGTCCTCGCGTTGCCGAGGATTAAGGGACTCCGCGCTGGGGGAGAGAACCCCACTTTTTCGGATACTAAAACCTCGATCCATCGGATCGCTTAGTTCGTGTGAGTGTGCTTTGGGATCCTTCTCTTTGTTTGCTTAATTATACAAACGATACGACAGGGACTGCAACGTGTGTGCGGCGCAACAGCTTCCTAATTAGCGCACTAATTAGCGCGTTATGTCTAAATACCGCGAAACAACGGCAAAATAGAATTCCACGAAAGGCGGTAAGCGTCGAAAAATCTGATTTCTTGAGGGGGGGGAAACTTTTTTCCGCCGAACCGCGCGCGCTCATTAAGGAGCCCCGCGTTCCGTGACATTTTTCCAAATTTTCGCGAAAATTCCGCGAGATCGCCCACGCTCCGGGGAACAGTCGGTGCTAGAACAATTGAAAATCGAATCGAAGCGCACGGTCGTCGTTTCTTCTTCGTCTCCTCGGCGACGGGTGCGAATTTCCGGCCGAGGAAAATCGCTTTCGGATTTGTTCACGGCGCGGTGATCTCAACAATGTTGTTGTGAGGCGGCGCGCGTCCCTGCGTATCCGTAATTGCACACGTCCCGGCGTTGATATATACCTTCCCCCCCCCCATATACACTGTATAATCGTGGACGTAATTGGGATTCTATACATGTCCACTTGGTCCTTAGCGCGTTACACGTAACGTTCGAAGCTTCCTTGGCGTTAACAGCAGTGCTCAGATGCGGGGACACACGGTGTCGAGACGACGGTCGGCAAAGCTGTGTCCGTGCGTTGCAGATATGTTGTGTAAATGCAGTTAACTATAGTAACGAGACACATTTTGCCGGCGCATACATGCGGACGCTCGTTACATATGTATAACGTTATATAGTATATAACAACGCGCAGCGTGTAGAGGGTCTCCCGGTGGAGTAGCGGCGCGGATCGTGGCGGCGTCGCACCTGTGACGCTAAATGTGAAACTTTAATCCCGCGTCTTAATCGCGCTTCCCTAACAATCACGGAGTAATATTTCTGAAATTTTGCCGACTGACCGCGGGTCGCGTCTTTCCGCGTTTCCGAGAGTCTCCTCCTGTGTCACGAGCGTTCGAAGAAAGAACGTCATTATCCGGCTTAGATTACAGTCGACTCGAAATTCGTTCGAATTTTGCGTCGTGTCTGTAATCATGTCTCGTCAAACCCAACTTCGCCTATAAGTGACGCCTATAAAATTGGTCAGTGACTCTGGATTTGCGCTCGTCTCGCTTCTTTCCGCGCAAATTCCGCACCGATAATACGCAAATATTTTTTAAAATCGCGCTGGCGACTCTCCCTCGTCGTTATCATTCGTAAAAATGTATGTTCGATTAGCCGAGCGACCGTATATGCGGCGGGAGGCTTTTCAGTTGAATATTCAGCGAAAAATTGCGGCTTTTGGGTTTCTCTTGGCGGGGATATATCGGTAGTAGTAGTACAAACTATCCGATATCGTCACGCGAATAAGCAGACGTATTGCGACGTCACGTATCGCATAGGCGGACATGTGCGAGTATATTGCACACGAGAATTTGACATCACGCGCGTATCGCGCGTCATTTGATAGATAAGATCGTTACACGGCCCGTAGCGAACGATAGCACTGCCATGCAACTTGCGCAACATTATCCCTTAATCACTGTACGAATGAAATCAACACATTCGATATCGACTGGGCTGTCACTTGATCATCGCGCGCGTCGCAACGGGTCGTTCAATTCTCATCGGAGAGCGAGTTACCCCGGCGGGGTGAAGTGTCGACGCTGATTTTCGGAAAAACACGATAAACCGAATAATTCGTAATTCACAGAGTTAATTCTCGGGAGGGAGCAAACTTCCTCCCGGGAAGTTTGCTCATACGAGAGCCGTAGGAATTCTATTTTCCTTCCTGTGTTTGCAAGCACGGAACTTTACTTGTCACGTACGAGAGCGTGTACGAGCGCAACAGGGTCGGTTCAAAGGGTTACCCTTAGCCAATTTCGCTTTAGCATCCATTCCGTTCCCATCTTTATACATGGCGCTCCAGTTTCTCCACCTACCTGCGCTATCGGTTATTGGCTACCGGAATGTTGAACGCAACCGCCGTCAGTTGTCTGGATGTATCAGATAAGTAGAGTTAAGTAAAGAAAAGTGGACGTAGGTAGAGCCATTTATTATGCGCTCTGGGACATTTGCTATTGAGCACTTGAGCAAAGATACATGAATAGAATCGAAAGAATTTAGTGGCAGTCAATAAAATGGTGTATACCGAGGCGACTTGACTTTGGCGAAAGAGAGAGAGAGAGAGACGCGTTTGTTGAATGAAGCGATGTATATTTTTTCCTTTTTCTCTCTCTCTCTCTCTCTCTCTCTCTCTCTCTCTCTTTTATCCTTTCTCGCGTTCTCCCTTTCTCGCGCGTTCTCCCAGGGAACGGAAATACAATTTCATCTTACGAGATTCAATTAAGTCTAACATCACGCGAAATAAAAAGGAACGGAGGGAAATAGGAAAGCGATACGAACGATTTGTCTGTTGGCCATCTAAACTGCGTTTCAGCACCACCGCCCGATGGGGCGAAAAGTTGGCCGATCCTTTTGCATGCATACGTCACGTCTTCGCGTGCCGCGTCGCGATCCCGTCGGTGTTCCATCGCGCGCATAAATATCACGTGTTAAAGCCGTAAAAAGATGACTTGTAGCCGCTCACCCGCGCACGCTGCCTAAGTGGTAAACTTGTAAGTGGCGAAATAAAGTTGGGTAGGGGTTTCGCGCGCCCGCGCGCGCGCTACCGTGTCTGTGACAGTTTAATTAATATCTTTCATCCTCAAAGGAAAAACTTGGCGAACTAACCGGCATGGACCCGGCAATGCCGAGCCGGTTAGAACCACTTCAACTTCGGACGCGACGACGACGACGACGACGACGACGACAGCAACGACGACGACGACGACGACGACGACGACGACGACGACGACGACGACGACGACGACGATGACGATCCCGCGCCAACGAGAGCATTTTCTCCACAGCTCCATTCTTCTCGTTTGCCTCTCCCGTCTCGCGATCGCTCGAATAAAGTTTCGTGTAGTTTTCCCTTCTTCGCGTTTCGAGGCAATTTTGTGTTTCGACGTTACCGAACTGTAAGATACGCGCGATAGCGAGTTCTCACTGGCGAAAGTTCCGGCCGGAAAGAATGCCGGCGAAAATAAAAGGAATAATGTTTGACTGAAATTTTCTGACATCGCAACGATTTAAAAACCGAGGACATCTCAGTGGATTCAATTCACAATTAATATCTAATGCACGAGCTGTCTGCCGAAACGATATTCGTAAATTATTGCAAATGCAACGGATGCTTTTCTGTTCCGACTTTGTGTCAGTTGTTGAGCCGTGAATGTCCTAATTTATACTTTTATTTATACGTTCATTTATTCTGCTTATAAATTTTCACTCGCCATGAAACGCCGCGATTTTTACTACCACTATATCCGCGCGTTATCCATTAAAAGAAAGAAAAAGAGAAGAAGAGCGATATCGGATATACTCGCCTCGACACGCATAGATTCCTCGGCCGCGTATCTGTGAATGCACCGACGATTAGCTTCGTAAAATATCGCAGCGACGATAATGCGCTTTCTCGCGCGCGGCTGTAAAAACCGCGGAAGGAGGGAAAAAATGACGGTGATCCGACGAGCGTGTAAGCCGCGACTTCTGAACAATTCGCAAAAAATAAATGACACGAAATTTGCATGGATTGAGTTTGTTTAGCGCAGACCCGTTGTTGCTACGTTCAGCGCCGACGTGGTTATTACAAATTCTTTGAAGTATTTCGTATGCTTTAAGCTTATGATATATTTGTTCCACAAATTCGCGTATTTGAGTTTACGTTTATGCTCCACGAGTCCTCAAGAATGGCGGAGCGAAATCGTGCCTGGTCAAAAGCGAGATGACAATAGTGCTTTCGGAATTTATGAAAAGCCCTTTGGCTTTATTAGTTGCCCGGCGTTATGTGGTTGTCGGCAAATATGCGATTGCCTTTTGCATTGTCATCGTACGAACAGCATACGAGCGTATAATGACGAATGTCGGCCTCGCTTTATTCGAGAAATATGACAGGTGAAAATGAGAGAGAGAGAGAGGGGGGGCGCGATTTTTTAATAAACGCAAAATTTTTCAAACGACCATGTGCATCGCGCGCTGAGAAACGCGTTATACGATTCGCCTGTCACTCAACCGAACTCACTGTTGACGCAGCGTTTTCGCGTGTCGAAACAAGATTCACGCGGAGAAATATTTCCTCTTCTTCTCGCCGAACATTGTCGGGCTTTCCGAAAGAAAGACAGACAATGTATCGCCGCGGCGTGCAACACTGTATAAATCCGCCACGTATAGATAATCTTTCACAATGCATTATTCAGAATTTCCACAAAGCTTTATACGCCCCGCGAAAAAGCAAAACCTTCAGACGTTGCCGAGTGGATATCCGCTCGTGCAGGAAGCACGTGACGTTACAGGGTTTATTTACGACTCGGCACACAACGTCGCGTCAACCTCCTCCGATTATTGCCGGTCAAATACGCCCGATCATCGAACACGCGATCTTATCAAATAATTGAAAAACCATGTCGGCGCACCTTGGGAACGGTATGGCCAGCTCCCCCGGGGAGCACAAACTGATGATTCGGAAGAATCTACGGAACTAGGGTCTGCGCGTTCAGATTAAACGTTCGGTAAGCAGCCATAACTTTCGATCTTAGACTCTTGGCTTATCCGCTTGGCAAATTATTTGTTTCTCCTCTGTGTCGCTCGAGTTCTAACAACGACCGGGAAGGGGCGGAATTGTTGGAGAATATCTCTGCATACGTTACGCAGATAGGTTTTTATTGAAATCAATTTCGCTGGCAGATATATTGTTACACCAGTAAGACCGCACGTCTCGAGACGACGACGACGATTACGTTCCTCCGCCTCGCCTATTGTACTTTTACAGCCCCGGCTGCATTATTTGCGTCGGAAGCTATCGCAAACTAGCTCCAATTAGCAAATCAAGCGAAGCAACAAGGGGTAATCTGCGTTCGCGTCGTAACTGCGGATCGTAATTTATGCGCAGCGCGACTTAGGTGTAGGAATAATTTCGCGAAGCGTCGCGTGTTAAGCCGGGGGATAACCGACGAAGGGAGCCCGCCCACTCCCGATCATTTACCGACGTTTGTTCGAGGGGAGCCCGGGTGAAAGGCACTCTGTGCGACGAGTGTCTTTTATTTTTTTTCCGCCGGTAATACGGGATATTTGTTCGCGCGCATCCCTCGGCTTTAACGCCGGCGGCGGAATTCCCGCGGAAGGCCCGCCGCTCTGCCTTAGCGCGGCAAGGAAAACGAAAAGAAAACGGTGGCGACGCGCGATGTTGGCAATATGCAGATGAGTATGTACGGGTATGTACCTGATAGCGTCGGATTCGTCGCGGACGAGGATGCACCGTCCTGGCGCATAGCGTCACTGGTAATTGCCGTTCCGCCGAGATTGGTGCTGTAGTCTTCGAGAAGTACGCAGCACAGTAATAGCCGTGCCACCCTCATTCTGAAAGAGCGAAAAAAGAAAAGCTGAACGATAATAACGACTCGCGCTCCCTTTCTCTCCTTCCCTTCTCTCCTCCCCCTCCCCTCCCCCTCCGCCTTCTCTCTCTCTCTCTCTCTCTCTCTCTCTCTCTCTCTCTCTCTCTCTCTCTCTCTCTCTCTCTCGGTCTTTGATTTTTCCGAGGAGGTGGCACGAAAAAATGTCACATAAAAACGACACTTATTGTTATTAAGATAGTAATTGGCGTAAGATGAATCTATCTACATCGTAGGATAAAATCCCGCGTATTTCTACGCACTTTAGTACGCGTTATTTATCGAGCTTTTTGATTATATATCAGTTAATTAACTGATATGTAATAAAATTAACTGATTAATTAATTAATTTAACAAGAGCTTGAAAGCTCGAAAGCGCAGCATTAACAATAACTCATAGCCGTGAAATGTTAACGGGGAGGTTACGCGAGCGATGCTGGAATTTATGTATTAATGCAAATAATGACTATTTAAAAATATATCGAAATGTATAAAGCTTCATGTTAAATACAATATGTGATACGATGTCGCAAACGCACGTCTGAACTTGGAATATTCATTTGAGTTTGAGTCGGCTTTGCACACGTCCAAACGAAGCGAGTCTCTCGTTTGTCATAGTGCTTAACGTGTGACGAACGAATATATCTGAGATTTCTCGCGGAGACAAGAGAAACCTTAGAAAAGAGAAACCTTTGTACTTTTTCTAGTAAAAATTCTAGACTCTTATCTAGGACTAAATTGATATATATACGCGCGGAGGAGCCAAGTTTGGTGAAGCGAAGCATCTTTTTTATTGACGTTGACATTTAAGGGAAATTATTTTGAAAATGTTGTCGGAGCAGTTTCGAGAATCCGATTCAAATCAATACACTGCATCTTAAACGATGTCTCGTTGCATTTATCCATAGCTGCATTTTATCGGAGTTCATAATGTCCCACGGTAATTGCATCAGTCTTAAAACGCACGCGTAAATAAACGGTGAGCGTTTTATTGAATTCTGCGGTATAAAATATCTCGAGAGTATCGATCAGTTGTGTGTCGAACGGTCAAAGAAAAATACATATATATATATATATAGTATTAACCGTCGATAGCTACCCTCCGTAAACGCAAGGAGAAAGAAAAATACGGGGAAAAGGAGAGAAACCTCAAAGTAATAAAGAAAACTCTAGATCGGAGCAATCGGGCGATTAATCAAACACATAACGTACATGTAGACTGAAAACTATAAACTAAAAGTAAAGAGATTAAACGTCTCGCTTAATCGGTCGTGCCTATCGCGCGAAAACGAAGCTTTCCCACGGAAGCGGGGGTTTCCGGGAATGAAGCCAACCCCGAGGCAGTCCCCGAAACGCCGAAGGCAACGGCGGTGAGCGAGCCGGTTAACGTGTACGAGAAGTTTCTTCGCTCGCGCTTGTACCCTCTCTCCCTCCGTACGTCTCGCGTCTTTCCTTCCGGTCCGGTTTTTTCGTCGTTTTGCGCGCTTGTCGTCCTCGCCCGCCTCCTTTCCCGATCGATACATTTGTCAAGCGACGTATAAACGCCGCTAAGTTCGCGGCAATTCCGAGTAATGTACGTACGTGGCGGGCGCGGATCGGCCGGCAAAGTGTCGCTGGACTTGGACCGTACATCCTGAATCCTCGGGATGCGGTCGCTCTCGTCGTCCGTGTGGAAACGCGCGGGGCAATTATCCTTTACGCCATCTCGTAAATAACAATCTCTCGGCCGTTTAGCGGCGGAGATTTCAGTCCGCGTACGAAGCGGAATTTAGCGCTTCTGCCCGCGCTTATATGCCGCGCGAGTAACTGCTTCGTTCTTATTTACGACAGGACTAAATGAAAACCCTCTCGTCCTGTGCCTCTCGCCCTTCTGCCTCCCAATCCTCGTTACCCTCGTTTCCTTCTGGCTCTTCTTCCCTAGTCACCACCTCTTCCTCCTCCTCCTCCTCCTCCTCCACTCACCTCCTTTTTTCCCCCCTTTTGCTCGCCGTCGCCTACTTCTCTTCGCGCCCTGATGTCAGATTATGGGCTCTTTGTCCTATCTCGCTTACGCGTGATCGATGGTCCTCGCGGGCCAGGCCGAAGTGAAAGATCTCCCGACGAAAGTGTCGTGATTTTGGAAGATGGGGGTCAAGAGGAGAAATATCCGAGATATTATACGTCTACCGGCTGAGACTGCTCGTCACTTTTGTATCGTCCGCAATTATTCCCATTTTTGAGCATCACCTTCGGATATTTTTAACACCTTTATCACTTGATGGTGACCATCATCACCATCATCACCACTGCCATCACCACCACCACCACCACCACCACCACCTCTAGCTCTTAATTTCGGCCCCGCTTCCCGATCGGTACTTTCCCGGGAGGTTTTTTTACCTCTCGAGTCTTTAGAAGCAGCTTTTTCTCCTGCAATTTTATCTGATGGAAGCTAAGGGAAAAACCCAGAGCCAAGCTGTTGAGCTCGAGTTTAGCTCCCCGGCCGAGTGAGAATCTTCCAGCGTTCGGTTATTTGCGCGTAAAAAGAAATTATTTCGAATCGAGATTTTATTTCCGTCCGGCAACTCGCGTTGCACACGCCGCGCGCTTTGCCTGTGTGCTCCATCGATCTTAAATCCCTCGGCGGCGCGTTGCGCAAATAAAATAACTCGGCTGATATCGATCAGCCGATCATCCATATCGCGCGATGAATTTGGCCGTTCCGCGCGAGCGCGCGTCGTGACATCTGCTTTTTATCCTTTCCACTTTTATTTTACGAATCCGACGATACGGACAGAGTATTTCCGCGTTCCATCCAAGGACCGCACATATATTTCCGCGGCATCTCCCGATTCGATAAGAAAGAAACGGCAAAGAAAGAGAGAGAGAGAGAGAGAGAGAGAGAGAAAGAAGGGCGGGGGAGAAAGAGAGAGAGAGAGAAGAAGTGCGGAGAATCCGTTGCCGACGCCGGTGCTCGCGCGAGCCGACGAGAGAGCCTGATTTATTCGAGCGCGCTGAAAATCTTTTATTCCTCAATTATCGCCGCGCGAAAATATTTTAATCCGCGCCACGGAGTTTAATTTTCGCTCCATTTCCGCTGCTGTAATTTCCACGGCTCTATCTCTATCTCTGAAAATATTTTCCCTCCTCCCCCCGGATACCTCGTGTCCTTTCGATCCGCGACGCATTATTCTCATACGCCTTTATTGAATTTATTATCCCGGCTCATCATTACTCGCTGCATTATCGGCATCGTTTTTGCCATTTAATCGAATCTCCTCTCACCCCTAGCTCATTCTCTCTCCTTCCCTCCTGCTTATTTTTGACGTCGCAATATCCCCGAGGCTGCCCCGCCTCGGCGTTGTCCCGTCCCGTTCCGTTCCGTTCCGTCCCGCGCCGCGTTGCGGCACAGCACGCCTATACCGCGGACGTAATTTTCTATAAGCCGCGAAATAAAAGCGCGCGTCTATAAATCTGATTTGCGCCATTATCGGAAGTCGCTAGACGCGGCGAGATTGGCGATATCAGCATCTATAAAAGCGATCGCCGCGTTGTACAAGTAAAACTCCATTTTCTGCTCTCTTAGACACGCTCGCCACCGCGATCTGGAAGTTTGCTCGCAAACAATCGGCCCCGGGAAGAAAGATCGGGCAAATGTTCGGGCCGTCGATGTGGCGTCGCCGATTTGGAATATCAATCGGCCACGGCGGTTGCGAAGCGCGACGGCAACCGCGCGTTCGGGAAAACGCTAAAATGCGAGGAAACGCTAAATGAGAAACACGAACTGCGCGCGCGGAGATTTATACGCGACCGAATTTTCCTCCCGCGAACGTAATTCACTCCTCGCTCTCGCGGAATAATGACCGTGAAAGTTTCTCGCTCTCGTGGCAGTGCGGGAATTTCAGGATTTTCCGAAAGAAGAGAGAAAAAAGGAAGGAAAATATTAGCACGAACGCGGAACTCGGTGGTGCGTACGTTCTTCCTCCGGGTCCTTTATTCAACGCGCAAAAAAATTTCTAAAATCGCAGCTGTGCCACACCGTCGTCGTAGTCGTACCGCTGCTGCTACGTGGAAGCAGGTGTTGTCACTTTCGCAGATAGAGAAGAAGAAACACTCGGCGGAGCACAGAAGTGTGCGCGCGGCTCCGTCCGTGTAAAGCAAAGTGATTTGCTTGAGGCTCGAATCAATGGCAAATGCTTGCATAATCTGACATCCGTTCGATGCAGTTATATCACCGATGCGGGAATATTATGTATCACTGTATCACATTGACGCGCTGTCGTGCACGCTATCGTCATTTGTAGCAAAGCGTAATTTTCACTTGTCCGTCCCTAACGCCTTATAACACCCTAATTACTGCACTCTACTCGCGTACTCTCAGCGGTCTTCGTCTCAGACTTCAAACTAAAACTCCGGGCGAATAAAACGAACGGCCGCTGCCGTGTGCTCGGCTTTGATTTCGAGGTGCTGTTGATATTCAACAGGGACGAAGAAGGGGAGATGGGGGAGGGGGCTAGTTCAACATTTCCACCAGATTCTTCGCTCTCTTGCATTTATTCTCGGTACGGCTCGGTCAAATTTTAATCTAAAGTTCCGGCTGTATTTGTACGCGCGCTCACGCCCGGTTTATCGTTCTGTGTCACGGTCAATAGAAAGTTCGGCGGAATAATACGCAACGATTGCTATAAATCCGACGGGATGACGGCATATACGTGAAACACGACGGCGACGCTAACCCGAGGTGACACTGATCCCTATCGTGAATCTGAATAGAAAATATAAAAAATGATATATACGACGAAAGAATTTACTGCCTCAGCCTAGACGGGCTTAAACTGTCGCTCTCTAATAGCCGTTCTTCGCCCGCCACGTTCTCGATCCCGGTCGCTCCGATAAATCGATCTCGCGCCGCCCGAAAATCGCCTCGAGCCGATTTAATCGCGTCCGAAACGACGTTGCGGAAAAACTCCCGGACGGCCGATCAATTTACCGGCGACTTTATCTCGGCGGCCTCTCTCTCTCTCTCTCTCTCTCTCTCTCTCTCTCTCTCTCTCTCTCTCTCTCTCTCTCTCTCTCTCTCTCTCTCTCTTTCTCTCAATAATCTTTTTTCTTATGATAATACACTCCGCCAAATGCGACTGATTTGATTTCGTCTCCGCGGAGACTATCTGCGAACCACGATCCCTTGCACCAACGACGTTATATCACTCCGAATGATTTATTCCGGCTATCACTTCGAATTGCGACTCCCACTCTCTACCTTCTCTCTCTCTCTCTCTCTCTCTCTCTTTCTCTCTCTCTCTCTCTCTCTCTCTCTCTCTCTCTCTCTCTCTCTCTCTCTCTCTCTCTCTCTCTCTCTGCCTCTCACTCTCATTCTTTCTCTCTTTCTACCTCTCGATCTTCGTCCGTCTCTTTCATAATGCAAAGAATAATTTCAGCACATAACATCACAGACGGACGTATGTCCGTTTTACGAATGACCGCTATTGTGCGGGAACGGATTAATTCGGGTATTAGGTAAATCGCGCATAAACATCATTCTGTAGCATTGAATGCAATTACTCTAGCGTTTCATAACGGTGAACGCACGCAATCGCATCACCGCGCAATATTTAGGATCTCATAAGGGAGCGCTGAAATCGAGATTTCAACGGAGGGGAGATAGATGCATGTGTATGCACAGAAATGTAATTAATATCTGTAACGCCTGTCGAAGCCGAAACCCTACGATAGGTTCCTCCAGAAACATGTTTGAGAAAAGAGAATACTCGCGAATGAGAAAATTTAAGTTAAGATGAAGAATAATCGTTGTGACATTTAATATAATGATCTCCGACTGGAGATCTTAATTATGTGTATGTATATGCGCCGTAACGTTACGGCGATTATGACGAAAGTGATTTCAAATTTCTTATCATTAATCTCTCTCAAGATACATTTTCCAAAAGAGCAGCCCTCTCTAGACGGATATATTCTTCCTTTCGAGCCTGACAAGTTATGAACGAGTGCGCTTTTAATGTCCGTATATATCGTGTCCGATAATAAAAGTACATTTCGCATACCGCTCGATGTCATCGTCAAAAAATTATTCTTGTCTGGACAAAGACGATAAAACAGGATTAATTCCCGAGTTATAAAAGAGATTATGTGAGGAATTTTGACGAGTTACACTCTCACGCGAACTAATAATAAAACCTCGCTCGCATCGGGTAATTTGAAATTTACTTTAGCAGAATTTAAATTTATAGAATAGTTACTAGGATGCTTAATGTTATAATACTTTAGGAATTAATATCGCAGGAACTGCAAAGAAAGATGGCATATAATTAAATTTTCACAAAAGAAAGGATCATCTTCTTTTTTGACAAGAAATCGTCCTTCCTACACACACACACACACACACACGCACGCTCACACAAACATTAACACATTATTTAAATCTACTTTTTCTTTTCCGCTTTTTTTTTCACGTCACTAGTAAATTCGTACTAGAAAATTTGTCTCCGGTGTATAAATCCGCTCATTAGCCGTGTCATTAGCCGTGTATTTCAAATATATTCGCCCGCGGATCTCGCGCCTCGTAAAAGCATCGTACGCGCGTCTTTATTCCTCGTGCACTTTTCTGTACCCTATCATCCTCTGATTGTGTGAATAACACCAGTTGGTACGCGAGTCATAACGGCAGGAGAAATAAAATGTCTGAGGTATAACACACGCGTAATATGATATATCGCGCAATAACTCACATTTTTCGTAAAACGTCCCAAAATGTGCTTTTAATAATATCGTTTGCGCTAGCGTCGCGGTAACATTGGTTTACTATACTCCCTTGTCTCGACGAACGTCCCGTCTGACTTTTATTTAAGAGATCGCCGCCACCGCTACCGCCGCCGCCGCCGCTGTCTAATGTTCCACGTCGGGAGACAACCGATCGCGTAAAACAAACGCAATTGCACCGCAATCACACTCGACGAACCAACGTAGCCAACGTAGCCAATGTAGTTGTTTCTCCTTGTTTCTTTCGTCTCGATCTTACACGAGAATACACAGCGCTCACGATCAGATTACGTGAGGCACACTCGCATCCGCTGACAACGTGAGTCGTCTTTTTTCAATTCCATAATCACTCCGGCGCGATAGCCAATATTCAGCTCCTCGTACATTACGCGTCTATTTCACTATTTAACGGGAAAGAGATTCTTTCTTTTCGTACGATTTAACGGTAAATTACTCGACGGTGGAACCTTTCGAAACTTGAAACTGCCTATTTATTTTTAATGGGGTGATTATCGGGAAGTGCATTACCTCGCGAAAAAAGTGTAGCATTATACTGGCGAGAGTGTGACACGACGCGCCATACGCGCGCGAATCCCTCTTTTAACGTCCCCCAAGTTCGCGCACTTTTTTTCCTCCGTCCCTCTGTGATTGAACCCGCCGCGGACTTTGCACGAATCTTTTTTCCCACGGCGAAACGTCACCCGCTCCGTCCGAGAGGCTCGCGCGAAACGAAGCTACACTACCACCGGTGGACGCATCCCCGGGCGTCGGGACGCGTGTACTGACTGCGTCGAGCTGGCCGCGTCGTCGAGCGAGTCGAGAGAGCGGCGTCGGGACGCTCGCCGTGACGGGACGCTCGACTCGCATAGCGCAGGTCCGCAGGCCCGCAGGACTATACGGTGTCGCTTTTCTTCTTTCCACCGTCTCCCCCTTCTCTACCAAGCCTCTCTGCTCTCCTCACCTTATCTCTCTCTCTCTCTCTCTCTCTCTCTCTCCCCCTCTCTCTCTTTCTCTCTCTCTCTCTCTCTCTCTCTCTCTCTCTCTCTCTCTCTCTCTCTCTTTCTCACCCCCTCGTTCGCGTCGTTGGATATAATACTCAATTTATTATGTACCTCTGATACATGCGGACCGCCGCGCTGGAAAAGTGGGAGGCGCGCGAATGCACGGCAAGCGGTGGCTGTGTGCCGGTCCTCCTTCCGGCGAAAAATAAAACTGCGAGAAATATGAGGGGGCGAAAGAGAGAAAGGGTGAGAGAAGGCGAATAGACGGCGAGACGGGATCTAAGCGAGTGTAGGCGGTGGAGGCGATGAAGGAGAACGCTCGGAATCGGCAGCGTTCCGTTCGAGGGTGAATTGTCGAGATATTGTCGATCGGGCAGCTCGCTCCACGATAAAGCGCTTCGGTCAAAACGTCCTCCTTTTTGGTGCTCGACCGGCTGACGAGCGGGAAAAAGAGATCTCCGGACTGAAGTGCCGATCGCTATGTCAAAGACGAGGGAATGAAGAAAAAGTACCGTGACGACGACGGCGGCGGTGACAACGACGACGACGACGACGACGACGGCGACGACGACGACGACGACGACGACGACGACGACGACGACGACGACGACGACGACGACGACGACGACGACGACGACAGCGGCGACGGTGACGGCGGCGACGAAGGGAGGATGATGACGAGCCGCCAGAGGGTGGAAACGGATACGGGTATCCGCGGGTATAATGCGCGCTCGCGCTTTCGTCCTCGCTTTTTCACTAATTGTCGGCGGACGAGACGCCGCTAATGCGCCAGTTTAATCCCGAGAGATTGCGCGCGATGATGCCGTGCGCGATTGATAAATCCGGCGAGGTTTGACGATGATTGAAACGACGATCGAAGAGCAGAGTTGAGAGATGTCTCGCGCGGCAGGAGGCGTGTCAATCTGATAATTGAGACTCGCACGACTTGGCTTCGTCTACAAGTTGATGATATCTTCAAGAGCTCGCGCTTCAAGGGACGGACAGTGAGGATGAATCGTATCGCGCACGAGAGCGCCTGTCTTTCTGTCCAAGCGGATAATATAATCGCGTAATGTTCTATCTGCTAATTTTAAGATACGCCGCCGTCACGTCGCGAAACGTACACGGCGAGGCGAGTTTGTACATCGCGAGGTCGCCTTCGCTTCTTCGCCTGATGAAAATTTCACTGTAACTCCGTCGAATCGGAAATTTGTTTAGCGGGAATTAAACGCCGTTATGAAAACATGCCAAATAGGGGCCAAGTTAAAGATAATATAATTAGCTAGCCGTCCAGCTTATTAAAAGTTACTCTAAGAAGCTGTCAAGACATCGAGATAGTTCCTTACTTCCAATTCACGAGGCGGTCGTCGCTGAGAGATTGTTTTCAGTCGAAATTCTCCAGGCAGGCGGATAAACGTACTTCACTTCGGAATATCGGACTTGTATTTCTTCAGGGGCACGAGCGTATTTTCCGGACAATCTCATGTAAAGTTAAATGGTCGTCCCGGTGAAATATCCATTTTTCCCCGTCATAAATTATATATCGCTTACCACGCAATGCTCCCCCGAGTCCTCTGAATATGTATCACGACAAACCTTGTGCACAAAAAGAGAAAGATATTTTAATAAATGCCCCACACATTCTCTCTCTTGCGAAACACCACCGGGTCCTCCTTGACACATATGTCGCGTTCTGGAATGATTCAATGTCGGAGGAAAAAAATAAAACGTCTCTCACACCGCTATCGATTTGGCGAAACGTGCGTCAATTATATATCGTGTTTTATTTATCATCTTTACAGCGACGGCTTTTTCTCGAATTCACTTGGATTTACGATTATCGATCAGCGCTCGAAGTCAGCGTGTTCTGGTCGGCGTCTCAGGCGCTATTTTCTCCCAGGCGAGACCTCGCAAAATATCGTCAAATTCAAACGGGAGTTTTAAATCTCTGCTAAGGTACATTCGAGTCTTGATTGCTGAACGGCACGGGATGGCATTATAAATCAATTAAAGCGCGTTCGCGATAACTAAATTATGACACGCGAGAAGTTATTCGCTGTGGCGGATACGCGCCGGTTGGAGCATGAGTCTTAGCGAGAGAGAGTAGTAGAGGGAGGAAAAGAGAGGGAAAGCCGTATGAAAAATCGCGAAAATTTTTTCTAATATCGTACACGAGGCGCGAGCGCGCGTGGCGCGGTACAAAGGCGCGCGCGCACTTGCGAGGCGTAAGGTCGGAATTTATGAGAGAGGAACATTCCCGGGGATAACGCTGCGGCCTCCTCGGGCGGCTCCTCAATTATGACAGTGAGAAAAAGTACACATTAAGGGGATTGCCCGGAGGCGGCTGAAGCAAGCACATGCATAGCGCGGTACAAAATTGCCGCTTAAGCTGCAGTGGGCGGTGATAAATGTAGAAAGGTTAGAAGCGCGTTTTGACGTGAAGAAAAAAGAGGAAGAGGGAAAAAAATGTGAGAGAGGGGGAGAGCGAGAGAGAGAGAGAGAGGGGGGGAAGGGGGAGGGAGTGAGGGTGGGAGGGCGGGAGAGAAGTGGTTTCGCTGCGAAGCTCGATGTGCTTATTAAAAGAAAGGCTGGCTGATGAAGTGCAAGCTGAGCATCCCCCGCTTCGCACAAACCCCTGCGCGTCGGGTTCGTTCGTGATGAAGGGACGCAACGAGATTAACCGTATTCATTTGCGATGCTCGTTTTCCCCGCTCACGGGCGCAGAGGAGACTGAGGATTTCTTTTTTTTTTAGGTTGCGCTCCTCAATCATAAATCCATTAAAAATCTAACAACCAACGGATGAGTGTGTATATGTGTGTGTGTGTGTGTGTGTGTATAATGTGCATATATATATATATATATATAGAGAGAGAGACATATATATCTTTCTTTATAGCTGTATGTGCTGCGAATGCGCGTGTACACGTTAGGTGGATTACGTGAGCGCAACGGTGCGCTCCGTATGACAAATGCATTAACTTTTAATAGGGGTCCCTCTCTGCAGGTGGAAACAACGCTTCGAACTGATTTAACGTCGGCGATAATTGGACGCTCGATATCAGGAGTAACGGCCAACTTTTTCGCCGCCTGATTTAATATTAGCCGGTGGACGTTTGCTCGCGGGGGCGTTCGGGCGCTGAGGGTGGCGGGAAACGTAGGCGAGCGACTTGTGGAGCGGGGAAGGGCGGCAAGAGGGTAGGGTCGGAGGGCCGTGGAGTTATATGGCGGTGGTAATTATCGAAAAAACATACTGCAACTTCGACCTCAATCTGAGCGGGAGTAATGGCTCATTACTTCGCGAACGACGCTTCGGAAGCCTCGCGTGAACGGCGGAAGCACGAACGATGCGGACTGCGTTATGCAATGCCGGCGATTCGCCGTTCAGGAAGTGCGCTTGACAATCAGAGCGATGTCCAAGGGACGATATTTCTTTACGTTCTTTCCCGCGAGAAGCAAGTTCGCGAAGAAGCTCCGGAAGAGAATCACGAGCTCGTGTTCTCGTCAATTAAATAAGCGCAAACGAGAGAATAAATCCTTCGTGTCGATCGATTTTTGCTGCGAGATTCGCGCGTTTTCTGTTCTCTCGTGCGAAACGATGAAAATGCGTTGATACTTTGGACGATTTCAGCGACTCGCGTCGCTGTTCCGAAACACGAATATCATAATCGATACGTTGATGTATTAATAAACGTCGCGCTGTTTTTCGCTTCTCGTTTGTTCAGCGAAATACTTCAAAGAGGAATGAACGAAGATAAGAACATGCATTGCAGATAAATCGCTGCGAATATTTTCGCTCTTGTTTAACGAAGGAAGTGCCTCGAGAAATGCGAATGAAGATATCGCAGCGCGTATGTGCTTACTTTCCTCGGAGAGATAATAAACGTGTGCTCGTACATAGATAAATAAAGCACTCCCGGCGCGTGTAGGTACACGTGGTCGAAGAGATTTTATTTATCCACGAAATGAATGACGAAGTAACGCAATCACGACGCAACGTGCGGTGCAATGTGAAAGCCGTAACTGCGTTTGTATATTCGCTCATTTCTCGTGATGCGCGAACACATCGCGGGATCACGAATATATTGCGAAATCCCGTGTTTTAGATCGCGGTATTCGTTACAATGACAAGTGACGACAAGAAACGCTTACACGGGCGCGCGATTAAAAATATCAAGCTCCGTGTTTTGCAGCGAAAACCGCGTGTATTATTCGCGCGGAGCACAAAATACACGTGTATACACCTATAACGATACGGCTTTCGCGCTCTCGCGCGCTCGCTCAAAAATAGACGCCGTTGCTCCTACCATTAGGTAAATAACATGATCAATGGACAAATCCTCGTGGTCGTGTTAATGATTAACAAATACGAGTACAGATACACTCGCGGTTATTTTGTGGAGCATGAATGGTTTTATCAGCTCACGCACTTCACGCGCACGTTTCGCGCGCGTTTTATCGGAAATATTCGGCATTTGTTCGTAAACGGAGGGAGGAGAAAAAAGTCAAGCCAACCGGAAGCTCAGGCTGAGCGCGTTTATCGAGATAACCGACCAATTAAATACTTCACCACTTCCGATATCTATAATTAGTGAAATGACACGTGTACACCGAACGCTGGTATCGCGCAAAAGAGTCGCGAACATTTTGCGGATGTAGCCACCGCGTTTCGATTAAATTGAACTGCATTCTGGTTTCGCCACCGGTGGCTCCTCAATCGAAAGCAATTATCGCGAAGTTGAAAGCTTTATTGTTCATAGTTCCTCTTTTCGCGCTACTAAATGATATAGTGAATAATAACAACCGATGGCCGAGACAAAGTCCCCAAAATTTTCCACAAATTTTTCGCGCTGTATTAAGTTCAGCAGGATGTTTATAGCGCC